GGCCAAGGCTCAACTGGGTGATGTGGGGTCCGGCTCAACGAGACAGACTCAACCTGCCTGCATGCTCCATCATTCCATGTAAGGTTGCCTGCACAGATGAATAGAGCTCTAGTCCATTTCCATGCTCACATCTTTTCTCTGCCTGTCGTTCCATATCATCTCTGTGTGTGTGCTGCATTCAGGGTTCTCAAAACAATCAGCTTCTGGCTCCATCCCCGAAATAGGTTCCATGACAGACTTGCATACCTGTAAGTCCATTTCCTCGCCACCGAGAGTGGTGATGACAGGTTGCTGAGCTCCCTCCTCTGTGCTGAGCACATACAATGGAACCCAGACTCATTTCACCTAGGAGATAAAAAATTATGGCACCTCTGTTGGTATTCCATTTCCTCTTGGCACCCATAGACGCCCCAAGATTCCTCTCGCCCAGCTCAGGCAGCAATGTAGACTGCTGGCATCTCCTCGCCTGCTGCTATTTTTTCTGTCACCCTAAAAATTCTCGCAACGCCACCCACCTTTGTCGGAAGACCTATTGGGTGGACTAAAATGGGTCGGACGTTTTGACCTAAGTGGGAATATACGCTCAAAATTGTTTGCGTTTAGCGTATACACGCTAGCGTGTATACGCAAAACGCTATACGCTAGCGAATACGCTATACGCTCGCCAATTTTTTTTTGGGGGCAGCCCGGCCGGAAATTTTCAACCTAAACGGTTCGCTTCGGAATCGCAACGAAGACATTGGCGGGGTCAGATGGCACGTCCGCACTGTGTGCTAGCGTGGACGTGGGTTGAAAGTTCGTGTCGCGAATGAAAGTCATGTTCGTTGAGAGTCGCGCCTGCACGTTCCCTCGCATTTGGTGTTCACTCAGAGTACCGCATTCAAACCCTTGGCAACCAACACCTCTCCAACTTCTGTCGGCCATCTTCCCACTCCCACAATCAACTCGCTATAAAACACCCACACCCCTAACATCCAACTCATTAGGTCTTCTCTTGCTACCAGCAGAGCACTAGCATTCCCTAGCGCATGGTGCCTATGTCGACGACTACCTCTCCTCCAACGCCACCGTCAGCTACCACCGTTGGCAGTTCGCAAACTCTTCAAACCGAGGAACGGGAGTATCTCCCCGACGTTGACCATGCCGTCTTCAAGCACTTCCGCATCATCAAGAGGGTTGAGGGGAAAAGCTGAGCAGTACGAGTGCAAGTTCTGCAACAACGTCTTCACTGGTGCTGCCATCCGATGCGCGCAACACTTCAGTTCGTGGAAGGGGATGAAACGCCGTGAAGTGGCGCTTTGCAAGGATGCGCCGCAAAATGTGCGTCTGGCCATGCCGCGAACTACGAGGCAAAGGCTGCTGCGCCCGAAGAAAAGAGGCGGGCAGCAGCTGAAGCGGTTGCCGCGGTGAAGGCTAACGGGGGAAGCGGGCGCGCATCACCGATTACCTTGGGGGGATGCGGGCTGCAAGAAAGAGAGAAGCGGACAAGTCACTTGCGCTTGCTTGGGCCGCCCTCCACATCCCCGAGCGCCACATTGACCATCCTCTGATGGTCAATGCATTGAACAACGTCTCACGCGCTGGCGGCGACTACGTCTCTCCCAAGAGGAAATACATCGGCGGTGCCGGCCTTCTCTCGTGTTGCAACGGAATCGAGCAGGGTCTGGTGGGCATTAAGGCGAGCTGGAAGAGGACGGGCGTGACGGTTTCGTCCGACATGATGACGGACCGCAACAACAGGCCGCAGGCCAACGTGCTTCTCGTGAACGATTCCGGCGCCGTCTTCACCGACTGTATTGACTGCAACATGGAGAGGAAAACCGGAGGTTGTGTGGCGGGGATTCTTAGGCCTGTGTGGAGGAAGTGGGTCCAGAGAACGTTGTTGCGTTCTGCATGGACCGGGGGTCGAACTATGCGTGGCGGTGTGTGAAGCAACTTATACGGGAGTGGCCGCACATTCAGGATGCGCCGTGCGCCACTCACGTATTGGACCTTCTCATGGAAGATGTGGGGAAGATGGGATATGCTAAGCCGGTGGTCGATAAGGGAGGGGAGATATCAAGCTTCGCCTGCAACCACCATTGGACCTGAGGGTACCTGCGGACGCCGGAATTGGTGGAGGGGAGGTTCTATAGGCGCTGAAGCCGGCTGGAACCCGATTCCGGACCAACTACGTAGCCATATTCCGGCTATGTGTGATGCGCGGCAGCCTTACCAACATGGTGACGAGCAACCAGTGGAAGGGAGTGGGCGGTAGGGGACAGGAAGAAATCATGCGACGGGTTCAGTGCGCTGATCCATGATGCCGCCTGGCGGAAGACGGCCGAATTCTCCGTCGCCCTGCTGAAGCTGCCCTACAAGGCGATGAGGCATACGGACGGGCATGCCGTGGGGATGATGGGGAAGATGTACGATTTGATGCTGCAGTTGACCGAGGACGTGGGGGACTTGCTCGATGCGGACGAGGAGCAGCTGAGCAACGGGGACAAGGACCAGATCCGCCGCATCCTCAGAGACCGCTGGGACGGCAGCCTTGCATGCGCTATGCATGTCGCTGGCCGCATCCTCAACCCCGCCAATCAGGAGGAAGATATTTTCGGCACTGATCCCGAGTGCACGAGTGTCTTCAAGGCGTTCATCAGCCAACAGGCCGAGGTCCTTGAGAGCCGCGGGGATGGAGGGATGACGCGTGCGACATTTTGCTTGAGCTGGGGGACGGGCTGAGGGCGTTCCTTGACATGAAGGGTTCTTTTGGAATGCCGGAAGCCGTGGCAGAGGAAGCTGGTGAAAGAGGGAAAGTATAGCATGGTGAAGTGGTGGCAGTGGAATGGGACTGATGCCCCACGAGTGGCGGGGCTCGCGGTACGGGTGCTGTCTCAGTCCGAGTCAGCCTCACCTTGTGAGCGTGGATGGTCATCGTGGGATGCCGTCCACAGCGCACGTCGAAACGGGCTCGGATCCGCCAAGTGCAGGGACTTGGTCTATGTTGCGCACAATTGGAATGTTGTGCGCAACTGGCACATGCGCGCCGATGTCTTGCCATATGTGGTGCCCGGGATTGGAGCGGAGCCTCCAATCCCGACGGGATACAATGGGCTGGAAGACGAGACGAGGGGAGAGGATGAGGAGGAAGGCAAAGACGACATCCTTGAAGATGAGTACGCTAACTTGAGGGGGCAAATGTGGCCTTGCTGTTGGCAACTAGGCCTAACAGCGAAATGCTAGATCTGCACTTAAGCAACGGCGAAATGCTGGATCTGCACTTAAGCAACAGCAAAATGCTAGATCTGCACTTCACCAACGGCGAAATGCTCGATCTGCACTTAACTGATGGGGTAGCGCTAGACCTGCAATTAAGTAACGGCGATGAATGCCAAATCTGAGCCCAAACACCAAGGCCGGCGATCTAAAAATTGGTCACGGCCTAAGTTGTCGACGAACACATTGGTGTTGGTCGAAGGCACGTGTCGAACACGAACATGTTCGTGTTCCATAATCCCTAATCTCTAATCTCTACAACAATCAGTTATCTGGCTCCATCCCTGCTGGAATTGGTTCCATGACCAGACTTGCATTTCTGTGTAAGCCCCTCCAGTCCCCCACTGATTTCTCCTATCTCCTTTCACGCTTCAGAAGCGAAGTGAACTGTCTCCTGTAGCCTGTTTGTGTTTTCTCGTGCTTGAAAACTGGGGTCTGTTCTGTAACTCTTAGCTTACCCATTCTCCTCCCATTCCTGTCGCCTCTCCCCTTCCATCCTCTCTCATCCTCTCCCTTACTCATGATCGCCATCCGACTGTTCAAGCCTTTTCCAGGCAACGTACGAGCCATGAGGCACGAAATCAAGGCCTTGCCATGGCATACGTCTTCTACGCACAACTATCACGTAGCAGCCGGACAGTGCCACTTCCTTCAATCCAGTTCGCCTTGAGTGAAGAGCAGTCTGCCCCTGGAATCTGGTCGCCTTGACTCTGGTCGCTTGCTTGCAACACTATCAGTGCACCTCCTCACTCCACCGACTGCCCCCTGCCTGTGGCTCTGTCTCTTGGCTCGTGCCTCTTCTCAGGTTACTTGGCAACAATCAGCTCAATGGTGCTGTCCCTGCTTCCGTTGCATCCCTCACAAGATTGGTAAATCTGTAAGGTCTTACATAATCCGTCTCCACCCAGCTGTTACTCTTGTGTTTGTTATTTCGTCGACAGTTCTCTTCTCCCCTTCTTTCTCTATCTTCTGTCTCTCCCCTTCAATTGCTCCCTTGTGTTTTTTCTCACCACTTTTGGTTCTCAAACCCGCTCACCATGGTTTGAGTCAGACCAGCTTGGCTCAGCACGAAGGTCGTGTCAAACCTCAGGAGGTTGCACATGCCTTGTTCTGCCAGCCAGCCCCCATTCGATCAATCCGAAATGGCTTTGACCTGCTCGCATGCCTACTTGGTCCTGACTTCTTCCCCCCCCCCCCCGATTCTTTACTGCAGTGTTCCGTTCTGTTCTTTACCCTCCCGTTCGTTTTCCCCTCAATCACATCATTACTTGATCTTCACCTCACTTCCCTCACTTGCCTGTGGCTTGTATCCTCTTCCCCATTATTGCCCTGCTTTGTGCCATGTTCCTACTGTTCGTTTTGCTCATGTGTCACGTCAATTACGTTGGGTTCTTCTTATCTTTGGAACGCTTCATTTGTTCTCCATTGTGGGTAATCAGTTAATTCTTTGTTTGAACACGTTGCCTGCTGTCCTGCCTGCCTCTGTTTCACATTGTATCATATCGTATTATGTGGTAACCCTCTTTTGACAACTCCACGTTCGACTAGCCATTCTCTTAGATCTACGGCTCGCCTTTTTACCTGCAGTGATTTTTCGAATAACCAGCTCTCAGGCAGCATCCCTTCCAGCGTCAGTGCTCTCACTCAGCTCACCACTCTGTGAGTTGTGCTCAACTCAAATGCAGACACAAATAAAAGATGACCCACACCAAGAAGACAATCGCCCTATGTTTTCTTGGCCCGAGTCGAGCCACCTTGACGAGCCATGCTCTGCAATATCTCGATCAATTGTAGCCGGCCCTGGATTACCGCCCCATACGCACAGGGTGGTTCTTGTTTGACCCGTGTGTCAGAACTTGAGCTTAGAATCGATACTATAGTAGTGAGCTCAAAGCTCTTTAAGTACATCCGGAATGAGCAAGGTAGGGATGAGGAGGGAATCAGGAGGCAATCCTAGGGAATCAAGGGTAATCCCAAGGCAATCTCCAATTGGTGGGTTGGAGATTGCTTGGAGATTACATTTGGGTTTGGTTGGGATGTGGGTGTACACCCAACCAAACACAAAGTGCAAACTACACTAAACTAGGATATAAAAGTACAAGTACAAAATGTGAGATTGGGGCCTAACACCAACACCCCCCCTGAGGCGTCAATCGAACTCATGGCGGAGAAGGAGGAGCGCAGAGCCCCATGGCGCCAAGGAGACGATGGTGGGGAACCTTCCCAAGGGGCTTGGTGAACAGGTCAGCCAGGTTGCAGTCAGATGCCACGTATTCCACCTTCAGCTGCTCTTGTTGCACAAGGTGACGAATGAAGAAGTGCCGAAGTTCAATATGCTTGGTGCGGGTGTGATACACAGGGTCTTGAGAGATGTGGATGGTACTCTGGTTGTCACACCAGAGGGTGGGGGCTGACTGAGGGAAGCCAAGCTCTTGGAGTAGGAAGGTGAACCAACGGGCCTCCTGAGCAGCCATGGTGCCTGCGTAGAGCTCCGCCTCACAGGAGGAGAGGGAGACTGCAGACGACCTGGTGGAGCGCCAACTGACAGTTCCGCTCCCGAGGGTGAAGCAAGCAGTACCCCTGAGAGGAGCGCCGGTCGGTCTGGTCATCAGCCCAGGAGGAGTCTGTGTAACCTTCCAGGCGAGGAGGGGAGAGCCCACCGAGTGTGAGAACGTGGGACTTTGTGCCCTTAAGATAGCGCAGCACCCGCTTTGCTGCCTTCCAATGAAGATTAGTGAAGCGACCCGGGGCCACGTAACGAGAGAGACACTGACTGGGTAGGCCAAGTCCGGTCGGGTGCACATCATGGCGTACATGAGGGACCCAACAAGTTCCGGGTATGGCTCAGAGCAGGCCTCGTGGTGTGGGTACAGCAGGAGCTGTAAGGAGGTGTTGCAGCGGCAGCGGGGTGGCAACAGGTGTGGCACAGCTCCATCTCAAACCGCTTGAGCACATTGTCGATGTAGAACTCCTGGGAGAGTGAGATGGTGCGAGCCTTGCGATCACGAGTGATCTCCATTCCCAGGTAGTGCTTGAGGTCACCAAGGTCTTTCATCTGGAGGGCCTTGCTCAGGGCTGCCTGGACAGAGGTCATTTGGGCCGAGTCCTTGGCAACGAGGATAAAATCATCCACGTAGACTAGGATGTAGAATGGCTCAGAATGACGACGGATGAAGAGAGTCGGGTCAGCAGTTGAGGGGTGGAAGTCCAGGGAGAGGGAGGACTTCTTTCACCTTGTTGTGCCATTCGCGAGGGGCTTGTTTAAGGCCGTAGACGGGGCGATTCAGCTTCCAGACTGTGTTGGGAGGGAATTCTCCTGGGAAGCCTTCTGGTCTGTCCATGAACACTGTCTCCTTGAGACGTCCTTGTAGGAAAGCGGAGGAGGCATCCATGGATTTGATCTCAAAGTCTTCTCGAGCTGCAACATCCATGAGCGTTCGAATGGTGGGAGGTTTGGATGTGGGGGAGAAGATTAGGTCGAAGTCGCGGTACCGCTGCTGGGTGAAGCCCTTGGCTACGTAACGCGCTTTGAACACCGGTGCCTCGTCTGGGAGCTGTTTTACACGGAACAACCACTTGCCCCCGACGATGTTGACTCCTGGAGGTGGAGTCTCGTCATCGAAAGAGTGGTTGCGAGTGAATGCTGCAATCTCCGCGTCCATGGCAGCACGCCATTCGGCAGCATGAGGGCCTGAGAGAGCCTCTTGGACGGTGAGAGGGATAGGGATGGTCGGGTTCTCCGCGAGGTTGAGGGAGGGTGAGCCAGTGATATCGGGGAAGATGTGTGAGAGCTGAGGAATGACTGCATGGAGATCACACAGCTCCTCATGCCTGTCTTCTAGAAGGGTAGAGGGCACATCCCCCCCAGCAGGAGGAGGCGGTGTGATCATTGTGTATCGAAGAACCATTGCGAGTGGAAGAGCAGCGCGATGGGAGCGGGTGCCATGAGCCACCGGTGAGGAGGGCGGGGCAGGCGGTGTCGGAGAGGGTGACTTAGGAGGCTTGGGTGGGGGAATGGGCCGCCGGCGGTACGTGATCAGCTCGGGCGACTGTGGGAGAGCGGGTTCCTCTGTGGTGGGGGGAACTGGGGGAGGAGGTGGGGCCGGAGGGTGGGACCGCCGATGGTAGGTGATAGGTGCGCTCGGAGGGGGCGGCGCAGCGGGAAGTGAGGAAGGTGAGGGGGGGGGCGGAGCAGCCGCCGAAGACACCGGTGAGGCCGGGTCAGAGACCTCAGAGGGAGATGGTGGGATGGCAGGAGAGGGAGGAGGTGAGGGGGCAGGAGCAGGCGGGAGGTCGGGAGGCGCGTCAAAGTCTGCCCACACGAGGGAGGGTGGATCAGGGAGAGGGTCCCGTCCCGAAGGGGAGTAGAATGGGCGGGTCTCATCAAAGACAACGTCGCGGCTCCTGACCAACTGTTGAGTGGAGGGATTGAGGAAGAGGTAGTCAGGTGAGTCGGCGTTGTGCCCAAGGTAGATGCACGTTTGAGTCTTGGGACCGAGCTTGCCACCGTTCTGGCGTCGAGCCTGAGGGTTGAGGAGGACATAGGCGGTGCATCCCCAAACGCGAAGAGAGCGAGCAGTGGGCGTTTTCCCGAGCCAGAGTGTGGTTAGAGTGGTGTCGGGAAGGTGCGGATGGGGGTAAAGGTTGTAGAGGAGGGCGGCGTGGTAGAGAGCGTATCCCCAGAGAGAGTGTGGAGCGTTGGAGTGGCTGAGGAGGCACCGAGTGATCTGCACTAGAGTGTGGTTGCGGCTCTCAGCTATGCCGTTCTGTTGAGGGCTGTCAGGGAGGGTGAAGTTTTGCTGGATGCCTTCGGAGGAGCAGAAGGCTTTAAGCTTGTCGTTGCAAAATTCACCCCCCCCATCCGAGTGAAGGCGCTTGACCTTGAGGTCAAAGGTGGTCTGTGCCTGCTTGACCCACGCCATGATGACCTCTGGAGCCTCAGCCTTAGTGTGGAGGAGGTGAACAGAGACGTATCGTGAGTGGTCATCCACGATAACTAGGAAGTAGCGATATCCACCTCGTGCAAGAACAGGGGCAGGGCCCCAGACGTCCATGTGCACTAGGTCCAGTGGTGCCGCTGCGATTGTGGGTGAGGCAGTGTGGGGCTGTTGGCGCAGTTTGCTCTTGGTGCAATCAAGGCACGTGGGAGCGGGTGAGTCAGGTGGTGGAGGAAGTGTGGCTGGCAGGCCGAGAAGAAGTTTCTTGGAGGCCATGTCAGCAAGCGTGCGGAAGTTTGGGTGCCCTAACCGATGATGATAGAGGATGGTCGGGTTGGAGAGGCTGCGACATGTGCATGGTGTGATGGGAGCCTGTGCTTGGGTGGTTGAAACCTGTGGGAGAGGAACGCGTAGCGTGTAGAGGCCGCTGCTATTGAGGGTGAAGCGGGCCAAGACCTTGTTGGTGAGTGGGTCAATGATGTCGCAGTGGTCCTCATTCTCCGAGAAGATGGTGCGTAGCCCTGCTTTCTGAATTTCTGTTTGAGCCACCAGATTGTGGCGTAGTGAAGGCACGCACATGCCAGTGA